ATATTCAAATTTGATATAATCCAAGGTATTCCATGAAAATAATGACTAATATTTTATAATCATCAACATCATCATTATTTATGTTTTCATTATCATTATTCCTTACTGCTTATCATCATCCTAATCATCATAATTCGCACGACCATATAACCACTCTATAACCCCCCCCCCTCCCCCTCCTTCCAGATGGTGGGTGGAGAGCCGAAAGATAAACAAACCCGGGAGGCAGTCACGTGGAGGAGCCTGCGAATGTAAACACTGCACGAGCGTTACTGTCAGGTTGGTATGGGGAAAGTGGGGTCCGCAGAGTAGCTCGGTTGTTATATTAGGTGTTATGTAAATTGTGTTGTTGTTGGTGGAGTTGGGTTGTTGCTTTGGGACGATTTATTGTTATTGGGATTGTTTGTTATCGTTTATTGTTTTTTGTCATTGTTATTGCTAATGGTAATTATTTATAAAGGTGGTAATATTTTGATGTTAAAAGTGTTAATAGCAGTAGTTTCAGGTTTGGAATTCTGTAATGATTGATAATTTGCATAAAAATTCCGAGTTTAAAATCGCAATTCCATCAAGTTGCACCACACAACTAGGCTCCATCTCTCTCTCTCTCTCTCTCTCTCTCTTCTCTCTCTCTCTCTCTCTCTCTCTCTCTCTCTCTCTCTCTCTCTCTCTCTCTCTCTCTCTCTCTCTCTCTCACTTACATATACTTTTACACATAAACACATACATATCTCCAAACATCCGCCGCAGTTTTGAGGGCAACTAATGACTAAATTCCGGCCGCAGCCTCCGGGGAGTGACGGAGGGCAAGCAGTACAACGCGATCCACGATGCCAACAGCGGCGAGTCCCTGAGCGTGCAGTCGTCCTCGAACCCGTCGCTGTCGGCCAGGTAGGTCTTTTTCCGCGGTCAGGTCACTTGCTGGCTTCTCTGATGACTTCCTCCGTGACTTATTGATATTTTCGGTGACTTAATGGCTTGTCTCGATGACCTAGTGACTTGTGTCGGTGGGTTAATGGTTTGTTTCTGACTTGACTTGTTTGGGTGGCTTTGTGACTCTGGTGATTGATGGCTTCCTCCGTGACTTATTGATATTTTCGGTGACTTAATGGCTTGTCTCGATGACCTAGTGACTTGTTTCTTTGTTTCGGTGACTGAAGGACTTGTTTGGGTGGCTTGGTGACTTGTTCTGGTGATTTGATGGCTTCCTCCGTGACTTATTGATATTTTCGGTGACTTAATGGCTTGCTTCGGTGACTTATTGACTTACCTTGGTGATTTAATTACTTGCCTCGGCGACATAATGGCTTGTCTCGGTTGCTTAGTGACTTGTTTCGGTGACTTAATGACTTGCCTCGGTGACGTAATGACTTTCATCAGTGACGCAATGAAGTGACTTAATGACTTTCGTCGGTGACTTAATGAGTGTTTATACAAGTGTTGGTTAAGAGTTTTTGACAGCTATATAGGGGGTTCATTATGGATGTTTCGTTATATTTGTTTTTCTCTCTTTTCTTTCCATTTCTTGGTTTTCGTGTCTTCATTTTGATGGAATGTGTATCATTACATAATAATGAGAAACCACATTTCAGAACTTCAAAATATATAATAGACTCGAAACTAAATAACGGTATCTTAGACATATTATCATCAATTTGCAAATGTGTTTTTCCGCCTTAAAAGAATAACTTCTCCTCAGACGAATCGGCTTGTGGCTCGCTGTCTCAGGTGTCCTCAACCTCCTCATCTACCTGTCCTCGACCTTGCTCATGCTCATCGCCATGACCATGAACATCTACCTCATCCTGTCCATGGGCATCGGGGCCTCCTGCGGGAAAGTCGCCACCCTCTTCGCCCGCAGGAGGATAGAGGACGGGCTGTGCAAGTGACGCCAGGCTAGGGTCGCGCCGAAGCCCTGGACGGTGGCTGAGGCGGTGGCGGAGGCCGAGGCGGAGGCGGATGGGAGCGGCCACCCGGACACCACGCCCTTCTGAGAGCCCTCGCTGCGACCCTAGTTGCGATGGAGGGGTTCTAGGCGCGTGACTAACTTAGGCGAATTACTCTGAGAACACTGGGAAAGGTTATATTCATACCAGTAAGATGTATATATATATATATATATATATATATATATATATATATATATATATATTTTTTTTTTTACTAAAGTATCCCGGAAGCATACGTTAACGGGAACCCTAATGGATTGGATTATCAGATAGATATTTGTGTACTCAAAAGCTCGCAGCCCTTTCAAAATGTCCTCGGCAATGGACCGCTCCGTCCGTCTTGGGTTCTTGAAAAAAAAATCTGACGTATAAAAGGCATCTTCAGCAGTGATAGGGGGGGGGATATGTTATAAAACTACCATAAAATTCATATAGATACCATAAACGAACCTGTGAATCAATAAATAGCGTCTTTGTTAGCAAAATGAGCACCGACTTTGAGATAAACGGAAATGCCATTATATTTCTCTCAAACGCCTATTTACCTTAGTGTTGAGGGGTTGTGATAATTTAATAGGGAATTTGAGATGTAAGGAGAGGGTGAACAGTCTGAAAAATTCGTGGATTAGACTAATAAATGTGTTCATTATCCGGCATAGTGCATGATTACCAAAGGCCTGTGAGTAATGGCTCAACAAAGATTATTGTTTTTCTGATATGGTAGTAAACAGAAGAGAGGGTTATATATGTATACTTACAATACACACACATACACGCGTGTACGCACTTGTATGCATATATATATATATATATATATATATATATATATATATATATATTATATATATATATATATATATATATATATATATAGAGAGAGAGAGAGAGAGAGAGAGAGAGAGAGAGAGATCAGAAAAAAACTTTTAACTGGATCTCCTGCTAAACCAAAACAGTTGACTGGATTACCATTTTCGTATACTCGTAACCATAGAGTAATTTGGCGAAGTTAACTGACTGCCTTTCCCTCTCTTTTTTCTCTCTCCTCCACTGCAACGCCGATTTACTGCTTCAGAAGAGGGGCATGATTAATATTCAACTACATCAAGCCTTATAAAATCTGTGATAATATTACTCTAAAGCTCATTAGGAAAGGAACATGAAGTGGTAAAATATCCGCAAATCATTCGTATGGACTTTGTATATGCACATGTGTACACTCATAGACGTGCAAGTACGTTCATAAACACACATTCCAACAAACTACTGAACTCGCACAAAAAATCACTATTTAGAGTTACGAAATCAGTATTGAGCTCAGTGTTGGCACAAAGCTACTGCCCTCACGCGTTCTCTTTTTTCTGTGGTAAAATATACGTTTAATTAACAGTCAGTGCAGTCATCACACTTATATATGCACATAGGTGTGATGATACATATATCCTAAAAGAGTATTTAAGGTAAAAAAAAAAATAAAAAGAGAAGACATTATATGTACTGGACCAGAATAAATGTTTAGTCTATATTTTTCTTCACTAGATGTTGAATAAAGGTTATTGCATTTTCATGAATATTTATTTTCCATTTGTTGAGGAGAATAATTGATATTTATGTACAGATGTGTAAATAGAAAGGTGTGTATATATACTTTTATCTTTTTGAAACTATCTATGTGCATTCATGTCTACATTCATACATTACTTATTGCCTTCTAATGTTGCATAATTGCGCGCGAGGGAAGAGATAAGGGTAAATAAATAGGCTGAGTATTTATATCTTTAAAAATAATTATATATAAACATCTCTTGTGTAAGAGTTGAGTTAAAGGGGGGAAAATGGAGAAAGGTAGAAATGGGGAGGGATGAAGGGAGAGGGAGAAATAGGGAGAGATGAGGACAATATCTCAATACTGTAAATATTAAAAGTAGTGGTAAACAAAATGGTCGGCATTTAAAGCCAGCATTTGGTGAGAATTTACATGCTACATGATGCTAATTAGATGGTACAAAATGTTTGATTTAAATGACAAATGTACAATGCTAAAATGATATGCAAATATGTATTTGTGCTTCGAGAGGCGGATATGAATGAGGTTGTGACTTTCTAAGTATCCGGTTTAGAAACGCCTGCACTGTGAAGACTTTGCCCCGCTTTGATTCTCTGGAGCGTCTGCAAGATGTGTATTCTGAAGGAGAGTTTCTGATCTTCGCTCAGAGTCCTGACGGCCGGGAGCATCGACATGAAGAAGTCCCTGTCGTCGTCCGGCTGCTGCAGCTGGCACTGAAGGCGATCCTCCGAGGGGCAGCCCGCCTCCGGGTCGAGGCCCTGCCGCCGCTTCTTCTTCACGCTCGGTTCGGAACTCGAGTCCCCGTTGAGGGCCTTCTGCGGCGCGTCCTCCGTGGCGTCCGGGCTCGGGGGCGAAGGGAGGCCGCCGGACGCCGCCTTGCGCCCGATCACTTTGTTGAGGAAGGAGAGCTGCTCGAAGAAGATGTAGCGGCGGGAGGGCGGCGCGCCGGTCGCGGCCTCGCTCCTGACCCTCCGGCAGTCCTTGATGTAGGAGTCGCGGATGCTCTTCCAGCGGGCCTGGATCTCCTTCCCTGCAACGGAGGCAGTCGTCGGTGAAGGGGGGGGGGGGTGCAGAGGGGACTGAGACACTGGGGGGGGGGGGGCTGCAGAGGGATAGAGACACTGGGGGGGGGGGGGTGCAGAGGGATTGAGACACTGGGGGGGGGTGCAAAAGGGATACAGAAACGGGAGGAGGGGGGGGGGGTACAGACTCCAGGAAATATCGATCGATGAATAATCATGGACTATTGCAGACGGACAAGCAGCCATAAAGAGACGCACATTGACACACTCAGTGCTTGCATAAATCTGTATGAATGCATGTATGTATTTATGTAAGTAAATACACACACACACACACACACACACACACACACACACACACACACACACACACACACACACACACACACACACACACACACACACACCACACACACACACACACATTCACACACGCACACGCACACGCACTCACACACACGCACA